GAATGCATTAGTTTGTTGTTGTGTTACCAAGTATGAACTTTTGTTTACGTTGGGATTATGGATTTGAACGTTCATCATGTGGTCACATCTGCTTCCTCAACAGTGACAAGCAAAACAACTGTCCTATGTGTCCAACTGTCTTTGAAAAAACACTTGGAAAGAAAAGAAAGAATGTGAACACAGTACTTCAACATGCCAATGATGTCAGACATGTCCACAGTACAAATACACAAAACTTTATTATCATTAAAAGGCTGGATTTGCTGTATCTATGCAGCGCTAATCTTTAGTGCACTTTCACTTTTTCATTACTCTTGTCGTTTGCAGTTAAACACTATTTAACACCTTTATGAAAGTACTGTAACACCTTTCAAGCTACTGCAACTATTGACGCACTTGTGTTCACTTACAATACCTGTGGTTTTTAGTTGTGCACCTTGCCTTTTATTTTATTGTTACTAAAATGATGTTCTTGCAGCAGAGGGTGAAAAAAGACCCTGACTGCATGAAGGTAATTCATATGTATTATTCATAACTGCCTCTTCCATTTATACTTACAGTTGGCTGGAGTTGTATACAATGAAAAAGCCAGTGCACACACTGGATGAGAGGCTGCTTGCAGCACTTATGTTGTTATTCCATGTTTTGTGTTTTCATTACCATGTTACTAGTGCTTGTGCTGATAACGATGATGATAATGTTTTATGTTTAACGGGTTTTATTTGACATTCAAATGGATTTCACAAGACAGATACAGTATGTCCCTTTCTATTAAAATGAGTATAGGATGATTTAAAACATTTTTTTTTTTAATTCCTGAAGAGGAAAATCCATCCATCAACAGACGAATGTAAAGTGTTACATGACATGTACCTTCCTTGCTGCCATTTGAATGGTGAGTATCCTCTCTGCTTGAGCAATGTGGTGTAAATTAGTCATTATTATACTTATGGAACAACAGACTACATGTCCAATCGTCCTCACTTATGATTTACAGAGAAAAAAGTCTTAATGTTGCCCCATGGTCTCTGAGCCTGTCATGGAGGAAGTCATTTTTCTGCGGCACCATTGCTTTCAGATGTGGTCAAACGGCAAGGTCTCCTGATGCAAAAAAAAGAACACACATTTTCTGAAAATGAAGTGTTTCGAGAGAAATGAGTTGTAGGGGGAGAGTCCCTTCATAGAATCAAGTAATATAAACTCACAGAGAGAAAGCAGTGTGGGAGACAAGAGCCAGTTTCATAAAGTTTGAAGTTTTCCATCAGCAAGGACCACCAAATACAGAGCTGACAAACGACCAGTCAGACAGCTTGAACATAGGCAATGCATTATAGTGCAAAGTAAACTTTATTACTCATTAAAATTGTATTGGAGCTAACCTCTGCTCAGATTATACTAATATGTTTCATCAGGTAGACATAACATGTTTTTTTATGTGAAGTAATGAAATAATGTCATTAGCCTGAAATACTTTAAAATGTGAATACATGTTTTGTATTTTTTTATATATAAGTCCTTATATGTTTAAACAGCTGGCTCTGCGAACAATATGATCAACAGAAGGCCGGGTATTTTCAAGCCTTAAAGAGCAGCCTCTTAAGTAATAATGAGAGTGAGAAATGCAGTGCATTTAAGTGAAAACCTTGATTAATTATGTATGATTAGAGGACTCTTAAAAGCTTTGGGGAGAGAAAAGAAAGAAACTACATAAACAGAACATGAAGTCCAGAATGGCTGGATGGATACCAGACGTGAAATTGTAAATGAACCTTAAGTATACAGGTGACTGCAGAATGAAGAGAGATATTGCTTCTGCATGGCTGGACACTGGCTGACCGTTTGTGTACAGGTCATGTCACACTTTGTACTAAGGTACTGTCCATTGTTCGCAATTTTTTATATCAACGTTGTGTTTTATATTTGTAAGTTATTGTGTATAAAAGTCAACTTTCGGCCAACATTTTAATAATAAATATTTTTTTTATTAAGTTGTGTGATTACGATGCATGCATACACTCTGCAAATGTCCTTGCATTCATTTAAATGTATGTTTTATTTAACTTATGTTGATATTTACCCGATAAGTATGTATAAGTATATACTTATAAGTATAAATATGCAGTGTACACGCGAGAGAAGATAATATTGTTTACCCAGCATATTCTTGAAAGCTACATGTATGTTTTATCAGAGAATGAGTCACTGAGCAGAGGTCATTTGGAAATATCATTTCAGACATGCAGGTCATGCTACACTCCAGATAACTTCTACAGACCTGCCTTGTTCATCTCCCCCGTCTCTTTTATTCTTCCTTTCTTTTCCCTACTTTTCCTCCCTGTCAGTAGCATCGTGCATGTTTTCACCTCTAAAGTGATTGTACCTGATTTATATGACAGGCCTTTAACCCTGCGTGTGCTTGTCCATCAGCATCAGGCAGAAAACACCCAAGGGCATGTGTGAGCAGGACCAAATCTGGCTCTCTGTCATTCAGTGGCTTTAACCTCCAACTAGAATGCACTCCAACAAATCACATTTATTCCTGCAATGTTAGGATATAAGTCAATCACACAAGGTGAGAAGTGCTGCCGGTTGTAAAGATCCAAAAAGATACTTTTACCTTATAGCAATTATCTGTTTCTCCTTGACGACGTATATACATATATGGGTATGTAAATCACGGGGATAGAATACTGTGAATGTACAGTGATTGGCTGTTTGAGACAAAGCCATACTATTTGGATTCAACTCTCAGCCTAAGAAAAGACCTGCAAAAAATGTTCAGTAATACATTTGCAGAAAATATAAACTCCCAATGAAAGAGTACAGTGAAAACATTAATTTTTAAAACATTGTAATTAATTTGAGACTACAAGGAAGTAAACAAAACTGAACGTTGTCTCCACCTGCAGCCAGTACATGGCAACAGAAGTGAATGTATTCATGTTGTAATGGCCCCACTTACTGGTCATAAATAGTAGTACAGGCTAAAATGGGCAGAGAAATTAGCTATGAATGGTCCTGGCTGTAGCTGAGATGATGAATGTTAGCAAATATCCCCAAGAGGTCAAGGCCCACATCTATCAAGCTTGTGATTTACTTGAGGGGAGTCAAATGCCTCTTTCAAGTAATTCTCAGTGTGTATGAAATTAATGTTATATAGATAAGGATTATTAACCTTTCAAAATTACAATTTACTTCCTTAGTCACAGTGTCATTACAAAACTCTGTCACTCTTAAGATCTGAGAGTTTAAGAATTAAAAGCTCCTTAAAATATCCATCATTAATAGTATGTTAAGTAGTGCTGAAATAATTAATAGATAAGATAATAAACAGAAATGACATTTTATCTTAATGGGCATTTTTAGCATTTTCTTTGATTTTACAAACTAAATGATTACTTGAATTGAATTTAATAAACTTTAATAAACTTTAATAACATTGTTAGCTGGAGCCCTAATATTAAGAGAAACACTCAGACCTCTTACTTGAGTAAAGCAATAATAAAATGTTACTGCTACTAAAGTTTTGCCACAGTAAAAGTACATAAGTAAAAGTATTCAGAATATAAGAAATATTTTAATATTACTGCTGGTGTATGAAGAGCTCATATTGCTTACTTTATATAGTGGTGGATACTTTATTATTATTATTATTATTATTATTATTTATAACAATGCATCAGTCACAATTTATGAGCAGATTAGGATTTTTTTTTATAAATTATAAATATTCACAGTAACTAGTAACTGTGCTGTTAATCAAGTTAAAGCACTATAGTTATAATTAAAAAGACAGGCTACATATAGTCCCACTCTCTCAAGTAGACTACTTATATTGCTACCCTGATAAAGAGTTAGATCAAATGTTATATAATCGTTAAATACATTGTCTATAATGATCTATATGCAACTGTATTTTTCTAAGCCAGATACACGCTTTGATTTATGTGACACTCAACTGCTAGACGTTTGTATAAAACCGATTATTTCTGTCGTCGTTCATATTTAATTCAGTTTAGATGATGAGTAAACAAAGTATTTGTGCATCAAAATATGAACATATTGTTTTTTGTTTTTTTTTCTGTGGTCTCCGGAAATGGATTTTTTGCAGAGATTTCAAAATAGAAGTCATCTTACTTCGTGATCACGTGACTCCTCTGTTTACAGGCATCCGGAGAAACATGGAGGACACCGCTGGCAGTAATCCCCAATCTCTCGGATTTACAGAGAAATTAAAGTCTTGGCTCTCCTGGTCATGGACTTACGTGTGCTTCATTTGGTTCGGCCAATGGTGCCGATCACTCGACTACGCCACGTCCTGTGCGGAGCCGCTGAAACTGCAGCAAAGCCTCTTACCTCAGCTGACAAACTGCCACCTGCCGTAGCCTAAGCTACTTTGTTAGCCTTTCCCAACGCGGAAGCCTGTCTGCTTTGAGAGATTCGTTGTCCCTGACTCGATTCGAACGCTCCAGTCGCGAGGCCACCTTCCTCCTGCGTTACCGATCTGGCGCACCTCGAGTCATTTTTCAATATACCTACCTCCCAGCTCCTCAGTTATCCGTTCTCATCTCTTAACAGCAGCGTGTTGTTCATGCCTAGTCAGAATGCATTAGTTTGTTGTTGTGTGCTACTTTGCTCCTCATATAGTCGAGATGCTGTGTGTGGCTTATGTTACCTGCTACACTAAAGCCACTGGCACTGTGTTTTTCTGTCAGCGTGTTGTGCATGGTTTAAGGTTATTGTATGGTTACAACAGAGGGAACTACTGGTTGCTCTATTACACTGTACTGACCGCCTCCTCCTTCTCTTCTTTCAGCCTCAGTGTTTTTGAATACACTGACCCCTAAATTCTATGTGGCTCTCACTGGAACCTCCTCTCTCATCTCTGGACTCATCCTTGTGAGTTATCACCCTTGGCATTTCTTACACAAAAGAATACATGTTACATATCCACCCTTTTGCAAAATGGTATTTGCTTACAGGCCACTCATTTTGCAATAACTTCCTAAATTCCAAATTCTTAATCAGGAAACCCGGATTAGACACATGGATGGAAGCCTAGTTAAAGAAAAGTGTCACTATTAAACGCAACGCAACACCAGTTCTGTGTCTAGTACAGTGGTTCCTGAACTGGCCGCTGTAAAGCTATTGCAAGGGGGGCATAAAATATGGAGCAGAGCAAAAGTTGAATGAAGCTGAATCATTTGGAAGCAGTAAACAAACAAGAGCGGTCTCATCCTGCAAGGCTGATCCAAATTAAGGTTAGCAAGACTTGTGACAGAAGAGAAATTTCACCCTAAGACTACGGGCTGAACAGTTTACAAAGTACTGGGAAAGGTGGACTTCCTATTCTTTAACGTGTAACTCATTGTCTGTGTGAATGATCACTCCATTTTGCACTAATGTATAGCCTGTGTCAACCTTGTCAACCTGTCTGTTCACTTTTATTCTCTGTCTAGTTTTGTTCTTTCTTTGTTTTTTGTTTTTTTGTTTGTTTGCTTGTTTGTTTGCTTGTTTGTTTTTTATTGTTGGAAAAAAGAACTGAAAACTTAAATAAAAAGAAAGTTTCAAGAAAGAAGAGAAATGACATAATGAACAGATTTTGACAGGGAAAGAGGAAAAGAAAAGAAACCCACCAAGTAAAAATGTAATTGCAGGGACAGAGCCCTGTGCCTTTTGTGTGTTATGGCCATTAGGGCAGAGTTTAAGTTGCAGTTAAATTCCAGAGGTCGGCATGACAGTAAAAGTAAAAGAAAGCACTGCTCTAGTGATATGATAGCATTTGCAACTCAGGGATATATGAGCAATTGTTGTCTTTGTATAATATACTTTTTGTAAAGCCACGTTTCACCACATGTTCTCACCACAGATATTTGAGTGGTGGTATTTTCGTAAATATGGGACCTCGTTCATTGAACAAGTGTCAGTGAGCCACCTGCGTCCTCTTCTGGGTGGAGTGGAGAGCAGCTCCACGACTGGTCTTTTCACATCAGTCAATGGAGAGGCAGAGCCAAGGCCCAGTGTTTCAGGTAAATATGTGTATAATACAAACTAAAACAGCAATGCTACACATAATACTACTAGCACTAACAGCAATATCCTCCTTTTGGTAGAGTGTAAGGTCTGGAGGAACCCTTTGAATCTGTTCAGAGGAGCAGAATACAACAGGTATGTGATTTATTGTGATTCAGATTTAGCTGCGTCGAATACATCTGATAGTCCTTAAAATGGTTGGTTTATAATGTGAAAATATTTATAAACGTGCATACTTTCTTAAGCATACTGTCTTTAGCTAAATCAATTACATTTGATTTATTATAGATCATAAAACAGTAGCAGTAACAGTTTGTGCTTTACTCTGTGCACTACAGGTACACCTGGGTAACAGGGAAGGAACCTTTAACATACTATGATATGAACCTGTCTGCTCAAGACCATCAGACCTTCTTCACAGGAGACACTCCGCAGCTAAGGCCAGAAGATGCTGGTGAGTTTTAACTGTATAAACTGACCAGTTTAGTAGAAACAGCAGAAAACAGAGATGTGATATTTGTTCTTGTACAATTGTACAAACAAAAGACTGCTAACATGTGTCCTTGGAAGAGATTACTCTTGTTCTTTGTAAATGTTTCAAATGCAAGTGCTTTTTGTTTTTGTTGTGGAGCTATTAACCAGGATGCATACAATTAGATATGTCTGGACTGTTCAGTCACATCTATAATAAGCTTGAGTTCATCATCTCATTACAGTGATGCAGAAAGCCTGGAGAGAGAGAAATCCTCAAGCCAGGATCAGAGCAGCTTACCAGGCCATAGAAATGAACCATGAGTGAGTCCTTCTCTTACACATTGACATATCATCTCCTTAAATACTGTATCTATAAACATAATGAATATTGTCTTCTTGTGTATGACAAAGGGAAATATAATGAGGATAGGCTGGTGGAAATCTGTCCCTCTGTGTCTTATATTTGTGTGTGCAGATGTGCAGCAGCCTATGTACTCCTAGCAGAGGAAGAAGCCACAACTATCACAGAAGCTGAACGCCTCTTTAAAAAAGCACTTAGTATCGGTAAGAATATACGTGAATATACATGAATTACTCATCCATTGCAATCCTTGAGGCACAGTAGCAGCACAGTAGCTTCCTGGTTAATGTGCAACTTCACCCACTTTTAATCCTATGCAACATACTTTGCCGCACCCTGTGTAGTTCAGAACTTGAATGTCTACTATTGTGCAACTCCACATCACAGGTAAGTGTGGCTGTAAGAGCGGACCGGATGGATAACAAGCAAAACATTCCAACAATGCTTTTCATCTTCACAAAACACTGATGTTAAGATACAGTGTGAAGTTGCTCTTTAGGTCTGAAGTTATTCATGTTTTAAACCTCTTAAGACTGATAGACTGAAGTGTTTTGTTTATTTAATGTGTAGTATTTTCTGTTTGCCATCCACAGCTGGAAAAGATATCAACTTACTGGTGTACATTAAACGCAGACTGGCAATGTGTGCACGCAAGCTGGGGCGGATTAAAGAAGCAGTAAAAATGATGAGAGATGTGAGTTTCCATCACAAACTGCTATTATGTGCAAATTGTCAAATGACTCATGCAACTGCTGAAGCAACATGTTTATATTATATATGTCTGTATTTAAAACAAAGGCAGCATAGTTTTAACACATTGTATGTTATTGTATGATATTTTATCTCTTTACAGTTAATGAAGGAGTTCCCCCTGTTGGGAATGTTGAATATACACGAAAACCTCTTGGAGGCACTTCTAGAGCTTCAGGCATATGCTGATGTTCAAGCAGTCCTTGCCAAATATGATGGTAAGACTGAACCCAATAAAAATGTCAAGTCATCATGCAATTTTTGGACAGAAATTAGCTCATTGCCATTGAACCAGTATGTGGAATGTATGATTTATGTCACGTGACCCACATTTCTTCTGCCTCTATAGACATCAGCTTGCCAAAATCAGCCACTATATGCTACACATCTGCGCTGTTGAAAGCACGGGCTGTATCAGATAAGTATGTTGTAATGTCATTCAACATCAGTATCTCTTAGACCTTAACCTGTTTCACACAGCTGCACTAACATCATTTAATAGCTTTGTGAGCAGCAGCAACAGCGTGTCATATGAGGTGTTTTTTCTCAGGTTCTCTCCAGAAGCCGCGTCAAGGCGAGGGCTGAGCACAGCAGAGATGAATGCTGTGGAGGCCATACACAGAGCTGTTGAGTTCAATCCACATGTGCCAAAGGTCAGTCATTGGATTAACGAGTGTCGCATAGACTCTGATGGTTGTCGCGGTCCACGAAAACCCACTGATCACTTAAAGGTTCAGTGTGTAACATCTATTGTCAAACACTGAATATAATATTCATAGTTATGTTTTTATTAGTGTATAATCACCTGAAAATAAGAACCATTGTGTATTTGTTACCTTAGAATGAGCCCTTTTTATCTACAGGTGTTCCCATTTTACTACAGTAGCCAAAAGCGGACAAACAAAACACTGGCTTTAGTTTGTGTTTTTTGCGAGTTTTACGGCCACTGTAGTTTCTCTTACTCACTTCACAGCCCGTTCTCATT